ACACCATCACAGGGCCTAATCACATCAGCCACACTATCAGAGGCTCGTTCACCTGCACATCTACCAATGTGATAGATGCCATCATGGGCCAGCAATGCCCCTCTGCCATGTACATTGGCCAAACCGGACAGTCTCTACGTAAAAGAATCAATGGACACAAATCAGACGTCAAGAATTATAACATTCAAAAACCAGTCGGAGAACACTTCAATCTCTCTGGTCACTCGATTACAGACCTAAAAGTGGCAATTCTTCAACAAAAAAACTTCAACAACAGACTCCAACGAGAGACTGCTGAATTGGAATTAATTTGCAAACTGGACACCATTAACTCAGGCTTGAATAGAGACTGGGACTGGATGTGTCATTACACAAAGTAAAACTATTTCTCCATGTTTATTCCCCCCCCCCCACACACACACACAGTTCCTCAGATGCTGTAAATGGCCCACCTTGATTATCACTACAAATGTTTTGTTTTTTTCCCCCTCTCCTGCTGGTAATAGCTCACCTTAACTGATCACTCTCGTTACAGTCTGTATGGTAACACCCATTGTTTCATGTTCTGTGTGTATATAAATCTCCTCACTGTATTTTCCACTGAATGCATCTGATGAAGTGGGCTGTAGCTCACGAAAGCTCATGCTCAAATAAATTGGTTAGTCTCTAAGGTGCCACAAGTCCTCCTTTTCTTTTTATGGACAATAGTACTATTTCACTCAAGTGTCTTCCTAAATGTTAATATTCCTCTTTTGATCTTTGAATCAAGGCTATAGCAACAGACAAGACTTGTTTGCTGACATCACAAGACCAGAGCACACAGCTCCCCTTCTCTGTCACACAATGCCGGCTGCATTTCACAGCTCTGTTCATTTACAGATCCAGTCCGGTCCTGGGTCAGGTCAGTCTGGGAGTTTATTAACTCTTTCTGGCCCTGTCACCTTTCAATGAGATATTATATTACACCCATAATGCCACACCCAGCCCCACTGTGGAGCCCTCATCCCCCCATACCCCAACCCCCTGCCCCAGCCCTGAGCCCCCTCCAACACGCTGAACCCCTCAGACCCAGACCAGAATCCCCTCCTGAACCCCAACCCCTCATACCCAGCCCCACCCGGAGCCCTCATCCCCCTGCACCCCAACCCCCTGCCCCAGCCCAGAGGCTCCTCCCACACTCCAAACCCCTCATTTCTGGCCCCACCCTGAAGCCCACGGCCCCAGCCAGAGCCCTCACCCCCTCCCATACCCCAACCCCCTACCCCTACCCCAGCCTGGTGAAAATGAGCAAGTGAGCGAGGGTGGGGGAGAGTGAGTGACAGAGTGGGGGGTGGAGGGAGTGGGGGCAGGGCCTCGGGGAAGGGGTGGGGCAGGGGTGTTCTGTTTTCTGCAATCAGACAGTTCCTTGGCAAGCCTAGGGGCAGGCCACAGGCGGACGCAGCCCAGGGCCGAAGCAGGAGGGCGGAAGCAGCAGCCCGCAGGGAAGCCGTGCTCGAGGACAGGCCTGGAGATGCCCCAGAAAAGGGTGGGTTGGCCTGGAGTCAGGCTGGAGCCCTGGCACAAGGCGGCTGGACGGGACGCTGACTTGCTCCGCCACGGGTGAGACTAGCCTGCCCCCGGGCTGCAGGGTGAGTTGCATGGCACAGGGGGTACGGCCAGCCCTGAGCAGCAGGCCAGCGGGGCCGTGGAGAAGAAAGCCAGCCCTGCAGCCAGCCACAAGGCAGCAGCCGGCTGGCTCTAGCCTCATGTTCCTCACTCCCGCCTGCTGGGCTGGCGCCAGAGCGGCTGGGCGAGCTTGGCCCGTGCCCCCTCGGAGCTGGCGTGCAGAGGTCACGGCACAGCAAGCTCTGGCTGGCGCGGCCTCGGGAAGAGACACCTTGGAGCAGCCCGGCCACCCAAGGGCCTTGCGAGGGCATCTCCCGCTGGGCCTGTGGGGCGGAGGGCTCCCAGCGCCGGGGCCAGAGGGAAGGGAACTGGGGGTTACAGGTGGAGCCGTGGCAGCGCAGGGGCCCCCGAGGGAGAAAGGCACCTGCTGTGAGGGTGCAGAGCTGCCAGCTCAGGGCAGCGGGGGGAGAAGCGGCAGTGTCCCCTCAGGCAGTACCGCGGCTGCGTGCTGCCCAAGGGTGCTGGACACAGCCCAGCACACCCTGTCCCTGCCCCGCCACTAGCCTCAGAGAGGAGGGGCGGTGCTCTCCCGGCACCCCGCCCCCAGGGCTCCGAGGGGGCGGTGCTCTCCCGGCACCCCGCCCCCAGGGCTCCGAGGGGGCGGTGCTCTCCCGGCACCCCGCCCCCAGGGCTCCGAGGGGGCGGTGCTCTCCCGGCACCCCGCCCCCAGGGCTCCGAGGGGGCGGTGCTCTCCCGGCACCCCGCCCCCAGGGCTCTGAGTAGGGGAATCAAGGTGTTGCTTTAGCTCGACTCTGCCCCAGGGCTCAGAGTCGGGGATATGGGGGTGGTTCTCTACCTAGACCCCACCCCCAGGGCTCAGAGTCAGGGGGTGAGGGTGGTGATCTACCTGGTCCCTCCCCCATGGCTCAGAATTGGGGGTCTGAGGGGGAGTCTGCCTCGACTCTGCCCCTACCCCCCAGGCTCAGAGTGGAGGATGCTGGGGTTCCTGGCAGTTGACAGAGGGGGACTGAATAAAGGGGGGAAGATTCAGGAAAACCTGAGCTCTCACTGCCCCCCACTAAAACAGTCTGGGCCTGGCATGCCCCGCTGAGCTGAGGCCCCTGCTCCCAGGCCTGTCTCCCTGGGCACCAGGAGCAGTTCCTGGGAGCCGCAGAGAGGTGGCGGCAGCAGCTGCTGGATGGTGAAAGCCAGGGGTGAAAGTAAGTCAGAGGACTTACCGGTTTGCCGGAGTCCTGAGCAGGGGGCCTGGCCTCAACCGGAAGAGTAAATCCCCGGGCCCTTTAAATCTTGATTTAAAGGGCCAGGGCTCCAGCTGCGGTAGCGGTGGTTGGGAGCCCGGGGCCCTTTAAATCACCCCCGAGCTACCAGCTGCAGAGGCAGCTGGGAGCCCCGGGGCTCGGGGGTGATTTAAAGGGCCCCGGGCTCCAGCCCCCGCCCTTTAAATCCCCACCAGAGCCCCGCCACTGCCGCTACCCCAGGGCTTCGGCAGCAGGGCTCTGGCGGGGATTTAAAGGGCCCCGGGGCAGTAGCAGCGACTGGAGCGCCGGGGCCCTTTAAATCCCTGCCGCAGCCCCCCCAGGGCTTTAAATTGCCCGCTCGGAAAGCCGGTCCTGGTACGGCGCGCTGGCTCTTATCGGTACACCGTACTGGGGCATACTGGCTTACTTTTGCCTCTGGTGAAAGCCAAGCTGCATGGCAACGCCTCCCCGCCCTGTGCATGAGGTGCCACTTCCAAAGGGCAGGGGGGCATGCGGCCCATTGTGAGCAGGGGAGGGGCGTGTATAGAGGAGAGGGGGATGTGGGCCCGGCTCTGGGCTAAGCCCTGCTGTGGTCCACTGCTGCCCTGGCTCTGCTGCTGGCTGGACCCTGACCGGTGCTGTCCATAGCTGCGGCGGTGTTGGGTACTGCCCCATGAACCTCTGGCTGACCTGGTCTGGGGTCCAGTGTTTTGGGTAACCTCCTGCCCCAAGGGGGGCGGGGGGGGGGCGGGGGGAAAAAAAACCGAGGGTGCCCTTAATCTTTGGCCCCCCCCCCCCCCTGAGCCTGGTCTGCGGAGCAGCAAGCGCAGGGACAGCTCCACTTGGCTGCTACCAGAGCTCTGCAGGAGGGGCTGCCCGGAGCATGCTGCAGAAGACCCCCCCCAGGTGCCAGTCCCGGCATGCAAGCGAGACCCTGGGGCCTGGGGCAGGGCTCTACAAATCAGGGCTGTTCGATGTGCACTGTGCGAGTGGGCACGTAACCTTTTAACACCAACCTTGTGGTAATTCAGCCCCAGGTAACTGTCATCATCATACCACCTGGCTTTTCTCTAGCCCAGTTCGTTGGTAGCTCGCCAAGCCCTTTATAAAGGAGCGCAGCATCGTTATCCCCATTTTACAGATGGGGACACTGAGGCAAGAGTGATTTGCCTAGGGCCACCCAGCATGCCTGTAGCAGAGGCACACAGACCCACAGCTCAGTGCTCCACCCACTGGGCCACGCTGCCTCCCCTGTGCAAACAAGCAGTCCCTCAGCAACACCCCTGCACGACACCTTCATTTCGGGCAGGCCTTGGCTGGGGTGGGGGTGCTGGACAGGTTGCTGCGTGCCGGGGGTGGAGGGGCTTGAGAAAATGTGCCCTTTGGAATAAATGCCGGCTAGGGTTGCTTTCCGAGGTGGGAACAGTGCAGCAACGGGTGAGGCAAAGGGTGATGTGCGGGGATGGAGATGTTTCTGGAGGCACAGGATGGAGTGGGAGATTTGGGGCAAAGGGGGAGATGCCTGAAGGCACAATGGGGTGAAGGGGGAGGTTTGGGGTGAAGGGGAGGTGCTTTGGGGCACAATGGGGTGAAGGGGGAGGTTTGGGGTGAAGGGGAGGTGCTTTGGGGCACAGTGGGGTGAAGGGGGAGGTTGGGGGTGAAGGGGAGGTGCTTTGGGGCACAGTGGGGTGAAGGGGGAGGTTGGGAGTGAAGGGGAGGTGCTTTGGGGCACAGTGGGGTGAAGGGGGAGGTTTCTGTAGGGGTTGCAGCAGCAGGCCCTTTGGGGCACCCTGCCCTGCATGCTGGCACTAACCCAGGGGGGAGGGGGCTCTGGGGGTACATGAATGGGGTGCAGCTGGCCCCTCCCCCTCCCTTTCTGAGCCTTGGGAGAGGCCTTTGTGAAGGCTCCCTGGTCACCATGGCAACCCCAGAAGGAGCAGGTGGAAGGGGTGGGCGTGTCCGGAGCACTCGGCCCCGCCCCCGTTCGAGCCACGCCCCTTGGTGTCTATGGCGCCGGGCCTGTCGGGAGAGGTAGTTCCCGAGCCGCCAGGAGTGGGGGGAGAGGCCCCGCCCACCCGGGGCAGGGGTCGGGCTGTGATTGGCTCGGGGGCGGCGGCTCGGCCCCGCCCCCTCGCCTCGCCCGCAGAGCAGCGCAGGTTGGTGGGAGACGCGAGCGGTGCGAGGCGCGGAGCGGAGCCGCCGCGGGGCGAGGGGCGGCCGGGGCAGGTGCCGGGGCCTCCCGACGCGACTGGCCGCTGCTGCTGCAGGTGCGGGCGGGCGCGTCCCGGGGCGGGGGCCGCTCCCCCCTTGTCTCGGCGCTCGGAGGGGGCCGGGGGCCGGGGCCGGGGCCGGGGTTGGGGGGGGGGGCCGGGGTCGGGGCCGGGGGCGCTCGGAGGGGGTGGGGGCCGGGCGGTGCTCGGAGGGGGCCGGGGCCGGGGTCGGGGGCCGGGCGGCGCTCGGAGGGGGCCGGGGGCCGGGGTCGGGGTCGGGGGTCGGGCGGCGCTCGGAGGGGGCCGGGGGTCGGGGGCCGGGGCCGGGGTCGGGGGTCGGGCGGCGCTCGGAGGGGGCCGGGGCCGGGGCCGGGCCGGGGTCGGGGGCCGGGCGGCGCTGGGAGGGGGCCGGGGCCGGGGGCCGGGCGGCGCTCGGAGGGGGCCGGGGGGGGGGGGGGGCGGGGGCCGGGGGCGTCGGAGGGGGGGGGGCCGGGGCCGGGGCCGGGGGGCTCGGAGGGGGCCGGGGGTCGGGGGTCGGGGGTGCTCGGAGGGGGCCGGGGCCGGGGGCCGGGCGGCGCTCGGAGGGGGCCGGGGGCCGGGGTCGGGGGCCGGGCGGCGCTCGGAGGGGGCCGGGGCCGAGCCTTTGTTGTCTTGGGGCCGCGCCCCCGCCGCCCCCGTCCCACGGGCCCCGCCCCGCCGCCGTGGCCCCCTCGGGGCGCCTCTTTGTGCGGGGCTTTGTCCGCGCTGGGCCGGGGCCCCCCCGGGTAGCCGGGCCCCGCCCGGAGCTGGGGCTGGCGCCCGTCCCGTGCCCGGCCTCGGCGGGGAGCGGGGAGCCGGGAGCCCGGTCCCGGGGGCCGGCGCGGGACGCGTTCCCCCCGGGGCCGTGGGGCGGCGGGCGGGAGAACCCCGCGGCGCCCCGCAGCCTCCCCGCCCGGGCAGCGCTGTCGCCTCTCCCCGCTCTCGGAGCCCGGGGCTGGCTCCGTCCGGCTCCGCAGCGGGCCCCGCCGGCTTCCCTTGGGCTTCCCGGCGGGGGCGGCCGGCTGGCCGTGGGGGAGAAGGGTCCGTCCTTCCCGGGCACTTCGAGGGGCTGGGCGGGCCCCAGTCCCGCTGCGGGGCCGGGGCCGTCTCCATGGTGCGGCGGGGGTTGCGGGGGAAGGGGAGGCAGGGGGGCAAGGGGGAGGCAGGGGGGTTGCGGGGGAAGGGGCGGCGGGGGGGTGCGGGGGTAGGGGCGGCGAGGGGTGCGGGGGTGTGGAAGCGGCGTTGCACACCCTGGGAGTTCGTGGTGCTGGTTCCTCTGAGCCTGCCCGGGGCGTTCACGGGGCTGGGCTGGGAAGCGTCGCTCTCTCGGGCACCGCCAGGCTGCCTGCGGAAAAGGAGGAGAGGAGAGAGCTGCCTAGTGTCTCCCTTTCTCTTTCCACCTTCTCCTGCTCTACTTAAGCAGTAGCTGTGAGATGGCGGGGTGGTCCCCGGGGGGGGCGGCGGAACCTCGCAATCCCGGCCGATGTTTGAGATTAGCCCGAGACCTTGTAGTTGAGCCCCGGGGAGGGACTCTTACAGGTAGATGTAAAGATGCACCTGCTCACGAAAGCTTATGCTCAAATAAATTGGTTAGTCTCTAAGGTGGCACTAGTCCTCCTTCTCTCCGTTCCTGAGGCGCTCAGTCTCCCGTGAATGGGTGGTAAATCTGGGACGACATCTCCTCTGACTTCAGTGGAGTGATTTCAGGTGTATACTAGAGGAACTGAGGTGTGAATAGTGCCTCACACCCTGTGATCCTAAACCCTGATTGGAGCCCCAGTCACTAATACAGACCACAAGGAAGAAATACAAGTAAAGGGGGTGGCTAAAGAGTGAGAGAAGCAAAGCAGTTTCAAGACCCTCTCCTCTCCCACACACCAGCACCTTGGAGGAGCCGTGGCTGCTTTTCTGCTCATGCAGGTGAATGCTCAGATGGCAAGGTGAGGGGTACACTGCGGTGGGCAGCTAGGGACCGCAAACAACCGATGGGAAAGGGGCACGTGTGGAAGAAAGGTTACAGTGGAGAGATCACGAGGGATCACTGTTTCCTACACACCTAGTTAGCTCCTTTCTGGAGCTAAAAAGTAGGCTAGTATTTGGGGATGTTTTCCTGGAGGACATGAGGATCAGAATTCAAAATGACCTTGACAAACTGGAGAATCGGTCTGAAATCAGCCAGATGACATTCAGTGAAGACAAGTGCAAAGTACTGTTCACAGGAAAGAAAAATCAAATACACAACTACAAAATGGGGAATGACCGGCTAGGCTGGGAACTGCTGAAAACGATCTGGGGGTCATAGTGAATCACAAAGTGAATATGAGTTGTCCATGTGATGGAGTTGCAAAAAAGGCTAATATTCTGGGGTTTATTAATAGGTGTCTCTCTTGTAAGAAAGACCTGGGAGGTAATTGTCCCACTCTTGTTGGCACTGGTGAGGCCTCAGCTGGAGGACTGTGTCCAGTTCTGGGAGCCACAGCTTTAAGAAAGATGCGGACAAATTGGAGAGAGTCCAGAGGAGAGCAACAAAAATTATTAGAAAGTTTGGAAAAATCTGACCTACGAGGAAAGTTTAAAAGCCTGGGCATGTTTAGCCTTGAGAAAAGAAGAGCGAGGGGGACACGATAAATCTTGAAATACATATTAAGGGCTGTTATAAGGAGGATGGTAATCAGTTGTTCTGAGTTCACTGAAGTTAGGATAAGAAGTAATGGATTTAACCTGGAGCAAGGGAGATTTAGGTTAAATATTAGGAAAAACTTTCTAACTAAAAGGGCAGTTATGCTCTAGAATAGTCTTCCAAGGGAGGTTGTGGGGTTGCATCATGAGAGGTTTTTAAGAGCAGGTTGGACAAACACCTGTCCGGGATGGTCTAGCTTTATTTGGTCCTGCCTCAGCCCAAGGGGCTGGACTCGGTGATGAGAGGACTAGCGGTCCCTTACAGCTCTACATTGCTATACATCTGAGTGATGTCTGGCGTGGGACTTAATACTAGGTCGCCTTCTCTCCAGGGTTGCTGTGTGTAGCTGTGCATGGTATCTAATTATTTCCACTCTTTGAAAGAAGCAAAGGAAATGGCATGGTATTGAGGTGTGAAAATCAGCCATTGTGCTTGCTAATTAAATTCTCCCCGTAAAACTTTCCTGTGGGCTTTTTAGCCGGTCTGATTTAGTGTATCTGGGGTGGAGACCAGACTGACACGATGAAATGTGACGGCTCCTCCCTCAGGTCAATAGTCCTGGTGTGCAATCGTTTGACTGATCTCTGATGGGTCTGCTGGATCAATAATGGCTCCTCTCTGCTAGGGGCAGGAGTGGGTTTTTGTTACCTGTTGTGTGTAGTGCCTCTGTGTGCATTGCTGTCATGTGGCCTGCGCTGTCACGGGTAGCATTGGTGAGAGAGGATATGTACAGTCATGATAAAATTTTTAAAATGTGCTTGGCACCTAGCCCCAAGTCTGGAGAGTCAAAGGAATAAATACCAGACCCAGGGATGACTTCTGGTCTGTTCTCAGGAGAAATGAGAACACCAAACTCCCATTGTAGTGGCTGTAAACTAGCAGTATTTAACACCTCCCTGGGTAAGGCCCTTGATGGAAGGTTTCAGAGAAGGGGAGTTTTTTAAACGTTTCCTCTGCAGAAATTAACTATTTCTAATAAGCAAGGATGGAAAATGAATGTGCTCTGTAGGTCTGTTGTGACAAACCTGGAGACTAAAGAGTGTGAAACAGTGGGATTTCAATCCTGCTTTCAGTGCAGCCTGAACTGCAGTGATATTGTCAATGACTCCCTAACAAAGGAGGACCTCTGATCCTGGCTGAAAACAATGAATGGAGTTCTGTGGCTGTTTGCAGTGGCAGAGTTCTTCCCTCCCAGCCCGGGAGAACTGAAAAGGCTAATCCATAAAGGGTTAGCTCTGAAGAGGATGGAGGGTGTGTGTATGTCTGTGCTTGGATCCCCTGAAGACTAAGTACTCGGGCTGGAGACGTCTGCAGCCGGCAGTCTCCAGGGTATAACATCCAGTTGCTCAATCATCTGTGTGCTGAGCTATTTGTGTGTTGATAGTCGCTTTAGGAAGTCTGCCTGGGAAATGCTGCATCTCATCTTAAGGGCTAGGTGAGCACAAAGTGCCAACCCATCCCTTCTCCCTGCCGTACACAGCAAATGGCATAGACTTGCTGAAAAAGGAATATAAAATTGAGGGCAGGCTCTCTGGTTGTTGCAGTGGATGAGAGCCGCTGAGATCCCACCCTGTATGATGGCTGTAGCGTAGCTTGGGATGCTGGGTGTGTATATTCAATTGTCAGGACTTGAGCTGGTACTACCTTATGTGCTCTTGTTCCCTCCCCCTGCTCTCTGTCGGACTGTCCTGTCTCTTTAAGAGTGCCTTGCATAATGACAGGTTTCAGAGTAACAGCTGTGTTAGTCTGTATTTGCAAAAAGAAAAGGAGGACTTGTGGTACCTTAGAGACTAACCAATTTATTTGAGCATAAGCTTTCGTGAGCTACAGCTCACTTCATCGGATGCTGTAGCTCATGAAAGCTCATGCTCAAATAAATTGGTTAGTCTCTAAGGTGCCACAAGTCCTCCTTTTCTCTTTAAGAGTGTTAGCTCTCTGGGGCACAGGCTCTTCTGCCTTCTGTTTGTATCATGCCAAACACAGTGCGGCTCTTCCACCCCTCCCCTTCCCCCCCAGTGAAACAACAGTCCCCAGACTGCTGGAGGCCCAGGATTTCTTAGGGGTGGCGTTCACGAAGTGGTTTGTCCTGGTCTGAGGACGTGGGGCCCCTTGCCATTCAGCATGGCTGGTCTGAGGAGAGGCAGCACAGGGCTCTCTGGCCAAATAGGTCCGATTGTGTCAGTGGTTTTCGGTGGGTGGTTGAAGCAGCAGAAGTGTGGGTGCTCCACGAGGAGTCTTGGTACTTGGCTCCATCATGCATGTGCTGCCACCCAGGGAGAGGACAATAGCCGCTCATTCGCGTGACAGGGAGCATGTGATGCGAGTGGAGGCCCTCAGGAATGGCAGAAAACGCTGTTGG